AATATGGTGGTCCTTTCACGGCCAAGAAGCTCGCAAAATGCTGGGCCGAAGCTATCTGTACCACCCCCCTTGAACCTTCCTTCACTCCGTAAGGAGCATGAGAGAGTTGATTCATCTGGTTCGAGCTTTCATTCTGGTGGAGGAATCTCTGGTAGTGGAACGAGACCCGCCTCTTCCGGTATGGGATGGAATAAGCCTGCAGCTTTGCAGGATGGTGATGGTGCCAACAACCATACTGTTGAAGGTGTTTCCAGGGGGAGTAATGGGATAAATAATGGTCTTGCTTCTCGGGCTGGTGCAGCTGAACCGTTGGTACGGGCTTTTCAATCCGCAGAGAAAGTTGCAACTTTGAGGGGGGAAGATTTCCCGTCGTTGAAGGCTAGTTTGCCTTCAGCTTCTGTGTCTGGGCAGAAACAGAAGGATGGTGTGAATCAGAAACAGAAGCAAGCTTCGGGTGAAGAGTTTTCAAAAGAGCCAAGAGGTGTCTCTGGTATGGGCAGTTCACTTGTAGATATGAGACCTCAAAACCAGTCTGGGCATAGCCGCCTTGGTAATGAGCACAGCGAAAGTCCCAGGTTCTCAGATGGATTACATTCATCTGAACAGGTGAGGAAAAAGGAGTATCTTCCAGGGCCACTACCGCTTGTTCGGTTGACACCACGATCTGATTGGGCTGACGATGAGCGTGACACTAGTCATGGTTTCAGAGATCGGGACAGGGATCATGGCTATTCAAAGAATGAACCATTTTGGGATAGGGGTTTTGATCTTTCGAGGTCTCATGGCTTGCCCCAAAAGCATGCTGCTCCCAATCATTTTGACAAATCAGGACAGCGTGAAAATGAAATTGCAGTAAGACCTATCAGTGGAGGAGGAAGGGACGCCAACGCTTGGAGAGTCTCTGCACCAGTCCAAAATGAAGTTGCAAATAATAATAATAGTATTTATGGAGCAAGGCCGTCTAGTAGGGGCAGAGAAGTTAAGAAAACTAACTACGCCATTTCAGCTTCTAGGGAAAATGTTTGGAATAATACTGGAGCTAGAGAGGCTCCATATCAGCATGGAGGAAGACAGCAATGGAATAATATAGATACCAACGGCAACCGGGGAAATTTTAATCGGGATGGGTATGGAATTGAACATCAGAATAGGTATGGGGATGACTCTTTCCAGTATGGCTCTGCCTCTACAGGTTTGTTTACTTCTTTTGAAAAGAAGTTCTTAATTAATGACCTCAATATTAACTTCTTGCAGGGATAAACGCCCCTTTTTCAAGAGTGACAAACCTCACTCGGAAGATCCTTTTATGAAAGACTTTGGTGACGCTGGTTTTGATGTCCATGATCCATTTCCAGTTCTTGGTGTTGCTAAGAAGAAGAAAGAGGCTTTTAAGCAAACAGAGTTTCATGATCCTGTCAGAGAGTCATTTGAAGCTGAACTTGAGCGAGTTCAAAAGATGCAGGAAGAGGAACGTCGGCGGATCATCGAGGAACAGGAAAGGATGATGGAACTAGCTCGAACAGAAGAAGAAGAGAGAATGCGGGTAGCTCGCGAACAAGATGAGAGGCAGAAAAGATTAGAAGAAGAGGCCAGAGAAGCTGCTTTCAGAAACGAGCAGGAGAGGCTAGATGGTGCTAGGAGGGCAGAAGAGTTGAGAAAGTCAAAAGAAGAGGAGAAACAGAAGTTGCTCATGGAGGAAGAAAGGAGAAAGCAGGCTGCTAAGCAAAAGCTTTTAGAGTTGGAAGAAAAGATTTCCAGGAGACAGGCTGAAGCTTCCAAGGGTTGCAGCAGCTCGTCAACTGTTTCAGAGGACAAAATCTTAGACATTGTCAAAGAAAAAGAGTTTTCAAAGGCTGCAGATGTTGTTGACTGGGAGGAAAGTGACAGGATGGTGGATAGAATTACTAGGTCATCAAATTTAGATCAATCAGTAACCACTAGATCATTTGAGAGCGATATCGTGTCTCAATTTTCTAGAGATGGTTCTTTTGGGTTCCCTGATAGACAAAAGCCTACTTGGAGAAAGGAAGATATTGAAAGTGGAAACAATTCGAGGTTTATCACGCAAAATATGGAGAATGTTCCACATAGCCCGCAGAGAGATGCAGGTGGAGATTTTCCTAAGGAAGAATTCTTTGGGACAACTGGATACCTCAATGCCACTTCCTACTTCAAACCGGGATTCCCAGAGCATACAGTTGATCAGAGTTGGAGAATTCCTGGAGATGGAAGGCCCTATGGAAGGAATTATGGGATGGAATCTGAATCTCGTGAAAGTTTTGGAGAGCAATACGGTGAACCTGGATGGGGACAAAGTCAGGGCCGTGCACGACGTGGTCCATACTCTACCTATCCTGAAAAGTTGTATCAGAATACTGAGGGGGACGACTATTACCCTTTTGGAAAACCAAGGTATTCAGTAAGGCAGCCACGTGTTCTTCCCCCTCCTCAGGCTTCTAGGCAGAAGTCGTCCTTTGGAAGCGAGGCTGAGCATCCTGTCCCCTCAACTTCTATTGGAAGGATGAAGTACAGCATTACAGGTAGGACTAATTCGACCGTTCTAGCCAGTTATACAGGGGATCTTCAAGATCAACTTGAACTGTCTGGAAGTGGTATGGATGAACATCATCGGTTCGATAGCAAGCTGACGGGAAGATGCGACTCTCAGTCTTCGCTTTCCGTTACAAGCCCGCCTGATTCCCCAGTTCATCTCTCTCATGATGACTTGGATGAATCAGCAGATTCATCTCTCTTAGCTGCTTCCAGAAAGGGAGAAAATGCTGGTCTACTAGAGAAGGGGGGAGCGCCAGTTATCTCCAGTGATGCTGGAAAGGATAGTTTGATGCTTGCTACAGGCTCTGTATCTTGTTGGGAAAATGAAGAGTGGACTCTTGACAGTAATGAACGGTTGCAA